TTTCTATAGTTCCCATTGAATCTTTGTCCGTACTAATTTATTCAGGTAGTTGACGCAGAATTAGTATATAACCAAATTCGCGAACCGAGTCTTTAAACATTTAATCATTGTCCCATAGAACAATTTTGAATCCGGAACTTGGAGTTTTATAACGCATTGTGATAGCAAAAGTTGCCTTCCAAAATCTAGGCAAAGTATTAGGAAACAGAAAAAAATCATTAGCAAAGAAAAGAGTATTGGACTCTAACATAATATCAGGCTTCCTATATGACAGTGAATGCAGGACAATCTCCTCACAAATGAAGAAGTGCCTTTTATAGCGCATTGCGATAGGAAATGTTGTCTTTCGAAATCTAGGCAATTAGGAAACAGAAAATATTCGTTAGCAAACAACGAAAAGATTATTGTACTCCAACGTAATATCAGTCTTCCTATATGACAGTGAATGCAGGACAATCTCTTCCCAGATGAAGAATTTACTTGAACCAAACGAAATGTAGTTTTACATGTGACCAACGACGAAATTTTAGAAAATAAATGGATATAGATAAATATAAAGAACAAATAGGAAACGTTAAACAATCTAACACGTTTCATTTTTATTAAAACCTCAACAGAGAATAACATATAGTGAATAGGACGAAATTCTGGTACATTTAATTTTGTGTTGTTCGATTTTCATTGGTTAAATAGGTTTCACGTGCATTTGAATTGTTAAACAAACGTTAGTATAATACAAAAAGACGCTTATGCTAAACCTGGAAAAGGCAGCTGAAATTTCTAGGGTACTTAGTGAAGAAAGAAAAAAATCATAGGAAAACAACACATAACGTACTCATTGAGCTTGATCAAATGAATGGCAGAGCATGTTTTAGGAGAGATAACAGAAGGACAAATTTTATTAAAAGCTACAAAAGACAGGAAATTGTGAAGACCTATGATCGCTAACACCCTGAAGGGAAGCGGCAAATATAATAATAATAATAATAATAATAATAATAATAATAATAATAATAATAATAATTTGACTTTATTATTACGCGAAGTATTGTCATGAATAGGTAAATCAATAATTCCGTGTCCTAATGAGGGATAATCTTTAATTTAACACAATTCGTTTAGCTTTCTACATAATCTCTTAGCGTGTCAATGCACTTAATTCAGCGGTGAATATGAATTAGATAGATATAATATTGCAAGAAGAAAATTTCAGACCATAGTTAATAATCTTATATAAAGAAACAGAATTATTGAGCCATTTTGTTTTATTTAGCATATGGATTAATTTTCTTATCACCACCATTTTGTTTAACTTTTCTAGGATTCCAGTCAAAATGATTCAGATTCAAAATGATGAAAATTCGACACTCACAGGACAGATTGAAGGCAAGTGGGACAGAGGAAAAAAGTTGACCCTCTCTAGCGAACATGAGTAAAAGGATGGCAGAATAAGGTTTAGGAGAGATAGTAAAAAAGGATAAAATTGATTAAGAGTTACAAAGGATAGGAAATTATGGAGGCCTATGATCGCCTACATCCTGAAGGGACATAGAAAATTAATAATATTATTTTGATTTTATCATTACATAAGGTATTGTCATTAAGATGTAAATCAATAATTCTGTATCCTAATGATGGATAAACATTAATTTAACACAATTCGTTTACTTTTTTGCATAATCTCTTACCGTGTCAATGCACTTAATTCATGGGGAATATGAATTAGATAGATATAATATTACAGAAGGAAAATTTCAGACCATAGTTCTTTTTATTTCGCATTCGGTTTTTTGTCTTATTACCACTATTTTGTTTAGTCATCATATTCTTCTGTTTTTCTTTTAACTCTAAGTATATCTAAAAGAAACCTTGAGTAAGGCCCAGATATCTATTTAAATTGCGGCTAAACTTGATTGATTACAAACCTTGAAAGACAGAGAAAGGAAAACAACGCATAACGTATGTAGCGATCTTGAGTAAATGGATGGCAGAGCAAGTTTAGGAGAGATAAAAAAAAGTCAAAATTTATTAAGTGCTATAAAGGTCAGGAAATTGTGCAGAGTCATTAGCGCCAAGGTCCTGAACGGACACGGTACAAAGAAGAAGAAGAAGAAGAAGAAGAAGAAGAAGAAGAAGAGGAAGAAGAAAAGAAAGAAGAAGATGACGAAGAAGAAGAAGAAGAGGAAGAAGATGAAGAAGGAGAACAAGAAGAAGAAGAAGAAGAAGAAGAAGAGGAGGAAGAGCAACAACAAGAATAACAAGAACAAGAACAAGAGGCAGAAGAAAAGGAAGATGATGATGATGATGATGAAGTAGAAGAAGAGTAACCACAAGAATAACAGGAACAAGAAGAAGAAGAAAAGGAAGAAGATGACGAAGAAGAAGAAGAGGAAGAAGAAGAGGAGCAACAAGAAGCATAACAAGAAGAACAAGAACAAGAGGAAGAAGAAAAAGAAGATGATGATGATGATAAGAAGAAGAAGAAGAAGATGATGATGATGATGATGATGACGATGAAGAAGAAGAAGAAGAAGAGGAAGAAGAAAAGGAAGAAGAAGAAGAACAAGAAGAGGAGGAAGAAGAAAAGGAAGTAGAAGAAGATGATGAAGAAGAAGAAGAAGAAGAAGAAGAGCAATAACAAGAATAACAAGAAGAAGAGGAAAAAGAAAAGGAAGAACAAGAAGAAGATGAAGAAGAAGAGGAAGGAGAAGAAGAAGACGAAGAAGAACAAGAACAAGAGGACGAAGAAAAGGAAGAAGAAGAAGAAGATGAAGAAGAAAGAGATGTAATTGTATTCGAATTTTTTAAATGAAGAATTTTCAATTAATAATTTTTGAAAAGTATTTCTTTCACCTTAAATCGTAAAATTGAAAAAGAAAAATTTTGAAACAGAATAGAAATCGAAAAGAGCGGAAATATGACCCAAATATTTCACTGAATTGTTCTATTCAGTAAGATTTTTGTCTATATATAAAATTGAATAGAAGAAATGAAGAAAGGCAGTAAATAATGCATTAAAGTCTTAAGATAGATGCCTTTGTCTTTGAGTCTCCTTCATAGTCAACGAGAAATTCTTTTATTGTAAGATTTATTATAGTTCACTTCCGGTTCGAGCCGACAGTTCGTTTTTCCACAACAAACTGATTTTAAACTGATTTAGATTAAAGACAATCTCTCTATCTTAATCATTCACTCTCTCTCTCTTTCTCTTTTCCCCTCTCTTAACACCCACCACACAAAGAAGCACAATATATTTATTGTGACGTTTTTTTTTTACTTTCTTCTACTAAAGTACGAAACAATACATCAGACTTTATTAAATTGACTTAGAATTTATATTGAAAGACTAAAGACTGAAACGATGATAAATGATACTTCCTGATCAAAAGAGATTCCACTCATTTTTTTTTTATTTCCTTACGTTACATTAATTCTTCCACGTTCATTGGGCGGGGAAATTCCAACTAGACTACATAGAATCACGATTACTTAAATGTTCTAACACGCGGATTGCCATTTAGTTAGGTAGGTGTTAACTTTAAAAGGCCAGCCAAATAAAATAGTAATGTGGAAGAGGTACATGTTGGTACTTGAAAAGAATGGACGACCGGGTAAGTAAGAACAGAAATCACTAACTTAGCAATCGTCACTCTAATGAGCTAGACTCCCCGAAGAAACAATTCTTTGATATTAATATTTATAGGGCCTTGTTTGTTAGTCAGTCAGTCAGTCTGTTAGCCAGTCTTTGTTTGTCTCTCGCCAATGGATGTATTTTACCCGTCTCTCGACTGTCTCTGATCTTTACACGTCTCTCGACTGTCTATGCTCATTATACATCTCTTGTCTCTCTCCGATTTTTATCCGTCTCACGTCTATAAATGCTCTTTACCGTCTCTCACTGGCCTCTGCTATTAAACCGTCTCTTGCCTATCTATGCCTATTATCAGTCTCTCGACTGCCGCTGCGCTTTACCCGTCTCTCGCCCGTCTCAGCTCTTTACCCGTCTCTCGCCCGTCTCAGCTCTTTACCCGTCTCTCGCCCGTCTCAGCTCTTTACCCGTCTCTCGCCCGTCTCAGCTCTTTACCAGTCTCTCGCCCGTCTCAGCTCTTTACCCGTCTCTCGCCCGTCTCAGCTCTTTACCAGTCTCTCGCCCGTCTCAGCTCTTTACCCGTCTCTCGCCCGTCTCAGCTCTTTACTCGTCGCTGAATCGTTTCTGCTCTTTACCTGGCTTCGCCTATCTATGTTCTTTACCCGACTATCTCCTATCTATGCACTTTACTCGTCTCTCGCTTGCTTCGGCTCTTCACCCGCCTCTCGCTCGTCTCGACTCTTTACTCGCCTCTCGTTCTTCTCTGCTCTTTACCTGGCTTTCGCCTATCTATGTTCTTCACCCACTGTTGCCTATCTACGCTCTTTACCCGACTATTGTCTATGCACTTCACTCGTCTCTCGCCTGCTTCGGCTCATTACCCGTCTCTCGCTCGTCTCTGCTCCTAATCAGTGTGTCGCTCGTCTGTGCTCTTTACCCGTCTCTCGCTTGACTGTGCTCATTACCGGTCTCGCGCCTATCTATGTTCTTTACCAGACTCTTGTCTATGTATGATCTTTACTCTAAGGTTAAGAGCCGAAGCATGGGGGCTTCGGGTCTTAACCTTCTCTCGCTCGACTCTGGTCTTAACCCGTCTTTCGCTCGTTTCTGATCTATACCAGAATCTCGATTGACTCTGCTTTTTACTCGTCACGCGCGTATCTATGCTCATTTTATGCTCATCTCTCGCGTATTTATGCTTTTAACCTTGCATATCTATAATCTTTAACTGTCTATTGTCATCTATGCTATTTACCAGTCTCTCGCCTGTCTCTGCTCTTTACCCGCCTTCCCCTGTCTCTGCTCTAAACCCGTCTTTGGTCTATCTATGCCCTTTACCCGTCTCTCGCCTGTCTCTGCTCTTTACACGTCTCTCGCCTGTCTCTGCGCATTATTCGTCTATCGCCTGTCTCTGCTCTTTACCCGCCTTCCTCTCTCTCTGCTCTTTACCCGACTTCCCCTATTTCCGCTCTAAACCCGTCTTCGGACTATCTATGCCCTTTACCCGTCTCGACTGTCTCTGATCTTTACACCTCTCTCGCCTGTCTCTGCTCTTTACCCACCTTCCTCTGTCTCTGCTTTAAACCTGTCTTCGGACTATCTATGCCCTTTACCTATCTCTCGCTTGTCTCTGCTCTTTACACGTCTCTCGCCTGCCTCTACCCATTACTTGTCTCTCGCCTGTCTCTGCTCTTTACCCGTCTCTTGCCTGTCTCTGCTCTTTACCCGCCTTCCTCTGTCTCTGATCTAAACACGTCTTTGGCCTATCTATGCTTTTTACCCGTCTCTCACCTGTCTCTGCTCTTTACACGTCTCTCACCTGTCTCTGCTCTTTACCCGTCTCTCACATGTCTCTGCTCTTTACCCGTCTCTTGCCTGTCTCTGCTCTTTACCCGCCTTCCTCTGTCTCTGATCTAAACACGTCTTTGGCATATATATGCTTTTTACCCGTCTCTCACCTGTCTCTGCTCTTTACACGTCTCTCACCTGTCTCTGCTCTTTACCCGTCTCTCACATGTCTCTGCTCTTTACACGTCTCTCACCTGTCTCTGCTCTTTACCCGTCTCTCACATGTCTCTGCTCTTTACACGTCTCTCACCTGTCTCTGCTCTTTACACGTCTCTCGACTGTCTCTGCTCTTTACCCGTCTCTCACATGTCTCTGCTCTTTACCCGCCTTCCTCTGTCTCTGATCTAAACACGTCTTTGGCCTATCTATGCTTTTTACCCGTCTCTAACCTGTCTCTGCTCTTTACACGTCTCTCACCTGTCTCTGCTCTTTACCCGTCTCTCACATGTCTCTGTTTTTACATCGTCTCTCACCTGTCTCTGCTTTTTACCCGTCTCTCACATGTCTCTGCTCTTTACCCGTCTCTCACCTGTCTCTGCTTTTTACACGTCTCTCACCTGTCTCTGCTCGTTTTTACCCGTCTCTCACATGTCTCTGCTCTTACACGTCTCTCACCTGTCTCTGCTCTTTACCCGTCACTCACATGTCTCTGCTCTTTACCCGTCTCTCACATGTCTCTGCTCTTTACACGTCTCTCACCTGTCTCTGCTCTTTACACGTCTCTCACCTGTCTCTGCTCTTTACCTGTCTCTCACATGTCTCTGCTCTTTACATCGTCTCTCACCTGTCTCTGCTCTTTTTACCCGTCTCTCACATGTCTCTGCTCTTTACACGTCTCTCACCTGTCTCTGCTCTTTACACGTCTCTCACCTGTCTCTGCTCTTTACCCGTCTCTCACATGTCTCTGCTCTTTACCCGCCTTCCTCTGTCTCTGATCTAAACACGTCTTTGGCCCATCTATGCTTTTTTTTTTTTACCCGTCTCTAACCTGTCTCTGCTCTTTACACGTCTCTCACCTGTCTCTGCTCTTTTTACCCGTCTCTCACCTGTCTCTGGTTTCTTTACACGTCTCTCACCTGTCTCTGCTCTTTACCCGTCTCTCACCTGTCTCTGCTCTTTTACACGTCTCTCACCTGTCTCTGCTCTTTACCCGTCTCTCACATGTCTCTCTTTTACACGTCTCTCACCTGTCTCTGCTCTTTACCCGTCTCTCACATGTCTCTGCTTTTTACACGTCTCTCGCCTGTCTCTGCGTTTTTACCCATCTCTCGCCTGTCTCTGCTCTTTAGCTGTCTCTCGCCTGTCTCTGCTTTTTACCCGCTTTCGCCCGTCTTCTCTAAAACCGTCTTTGGCCTATCTATGCCCTTTACCCGTCTCTCGACTGTCTCTGCTCTTTACACCTCTCTCCTGTCTCTGCTTATTATTCATCTCTCGCCTGTCTCTGCTCTTTTTTAGCCTTCTCTCGCCTGACTCTGCACTTTAACCACCTTCCCCTGTCTCTGCTCTAAACCCGTCTTTAGCCTATCTTTGCCCTTTACCCGTCTCTCGCCTGTTTCTTCTTTTACACGTCTCTCGCCTGACTCTGCTCTTTACCCGCCTTCCCCTGTCTCTGCTCTAAAACCGTCTTTGGCCTATCTATGCTTTTTATCCGTCTCTCACCTGTCTCTGCTCTTTACACGTCTCTCGCCTGTCTCTGCTCTTTACCCGTTTCTCGATTATCTATGCTATTTACCCGTCCCTCGCTTATCTATGCTCTTTACCCGTCTCTCGCTTTTCTCCGCTTGATGTATAAAATATTTACGTATTTGAATCCGGTGCTTGTCTTCGAAGACCGATAAAAAGATACTGTGATTCTGAAAGCATGCCTGAAGGCCATTTCCACTCTGGTGAATGGCTCAACCACATAATCTTATTTCTCTTTAACCACTAGGGTCTTGTGTCAAAATCAGCTTTTCAAAAATGGCTGCTTTTCGTACCTTGCTTGTGAGTTCTGTTTTTTTCAGCCTCTTTAAAAAATGTTTTCCCGGGTTCTTCGAATTACTCCAGTAATAATGTGTACAATCATTATCTTCATATTGCATCTTTTTCATTCTTCTTCATCCCTCAATAAAATGTTCAGTTTTTTTTCTTTCGCTTTTATTCTCTTGTCTGCTCGAATGGCGATATCCAAGAAATGCCCAAATTTCTTCGACTTGCTTACAATATTAAGATGCCTTCTTCAGTCCTGGAGTGGGTAACCCCTTTGAATGTACTTTGGATGTTATTATTTTTTTAAGATAGCTTCTTACCCGTACACATAACATTGGGTTGCACGGTCATTTCCCAGGAGTTTGTACAGTTGTCGGGGTATAAACTTCTCCCCGAATCATCTTTCGTACGTTCTTTCTTTCTTTCTTTCTTTCTTTCTTTCTTATCTTTTGTCCTGAATTCAATTCTAGTGCAAACTCGTAAGAGCGATGACACTCATTGTCAAAATGATTTGTTCTTTCTTCTTTTCCTTCGTTCTTTCTTTCGTTCGTCTGTTGTCTTCTTTTCTTTCAATCTTTCTTTGGTTCATTCGTTCTTTCTTTCCCTTTTCTTTGTTTCATTCGTTTTTACTTTCGTTTTTCTTTCTTTCTTTAATTAAACTGTGACCAGATTTGGTGACATGGCCTAAATCGTATAAGCCATTTGAATTTCAAAGTTTTAAAGAACCGGAACAGTTTCTGATTTTTTTTTGTGGTTTGTAATTAGGGAAACATTCAAAGGATTAGTACAAATCTTAGTGGATCCCTATACGTATTCATAATCCTTTCATTTAAAAAAAAACCCCAAGATAACAAAAACAACAACAAAAAAACAAAAACAACAAAAAAAACAAAAACAAAACAAAAACCCGTGTGTTTGTGTGAAAAAGGATTGAAAGTTGCGTGGGACACTAGGAATCTCTTCTCGCCACAGTCAAACGGAGAAAAATGGCGTGATTTGGACACGCTACAAGGCACGACAGCCTGTGCAAGACCATCATGCAATGCACCGTTGAAGGTAGACGTAGAAGAGGGCGCCAACACAAGAAAAAACTAGTTAAAAGAATGGACACGTATGACTGTACCAGAACTGCTGATGGCGGCCGTTTATAGTTCAAGTTCTGTTTAAAAGAGTTACTGTAGCTTTTGCATTCGGATCCGCCCTACAATTACAAAAGTCAAGGAGATGATAATGATGATGATCCGTATTCAATAAAAGTTCATAGATTAATATCTGTTTCCGACAGTGTAGAATTCGTTCTTTTATTTAAGCATGTTTGCTTTGTCTTCACTTGAATTTATTTGAAGACATTACTGGCGTGTACGGTTGTCTAATGGTGAACGGCAGAGAAAAGAGAATCGGTGACGTGAATTCAAACTCCATCTAGAACAGTTTGTTTTCGCTTGATTGTAATACCCTTCAAAAATATAAGAATCCACTTCTCACTTTTTTCTATGGATAAATAAAAGAGCAGATGAAGGACATCTTGTCATTTAAGGTTGTCTATAATTAAGCGTTTGGCGAGCAACCCAACCATGGAAGCACTCCTTTGCTGCCGAAAACATTTACCAGTTCATTAATCCAAATATTTCACTGCTTTTCTTGACCAAAGAACTACACAGATTATTTTATTATAAATACTGTAATATAGATTGAGATAATAATGTTCTTACCCATCTTGTTCAGTCTGAAGTCGCACGACCGGCTGATCGGTTGAGCTTTCTGCCTTCGGGCGGGAAGGAACCCGAACGAGGCAACGCCGAAGGTCGGATTCTCTTTCGGGGAGGTAAACCGAATCTGAACCCGTTTTACGGGTTCAAAGGGCATATTTTTGGCCGAGACCACGGGCTCGGAGATCCCACGTTAAACCGGCCTTGTGCCACATGATATCCTCGTGGAGGGGTGACTAAATACTGTTCTTACCCATCTTGTCACCTTTTATTCTCGCTCCAATTATTACTTATTTTTGTTGTCAGTAATAGCCGTAATATTTACTACAATATTCCGACAACATTCTCTGCAGAGTGATATGCCGGGTGATTTTTTACGAACTTCAATATACATAAACAATGTTTACCTATTGACTCAAATATAAACATGACACCTATTTACCTAAAGTCTAAAGCGTATAAACGAGCAATGATTACCTATAGTCTCAAGTATAAATTCGACACATATTAATCTGTAGACTCAAGTATAAACCATTCTTTACCTATAGGATCAAATATCAACCTTGCAAATGCTTATCTATAGACTCAGGTATAAACCCAACCAATGTTTATCAACAGGCTCATATATATACGCGATCAGTGTTTACCATTAGAGTTGAGTATAAACTCGACTAATGCATACCTATAAACGCAATTATAAACATGACTAAAGTTTACCATTATACACAAACATAAAGCAATGTTTACCTATAGACCATGATCAATAGAATAATGTATATCCTAGAGCAATGTTTATTGCAATGTTTACGTATAGACTCAAGTATAAAACAACTAATGTTTACCTATAGGCTCAAGTATATAAAACAATCAATGTTTATCTACAAACTCAAGTACAAACACGACAATGTTTACGCACAGACTCAAGTATAAAAACAACTGATGTTTACCTATAGAATCAAGTATAACCAATACTTACGTATAGACTCAAGTACAGAAGAATTAATGTTTGCATATAGACTCAAGGATAAATACGACCAATATTCACATATAGACTGAAGTATAAAACAACCAATGTTCACCTATAGACTCAAGTATAAAACAACCAATGTTTTCCAATAGACTCAAGTATAATCAGGACAATGTTTACGTACAGACTCAAGTATAAAAACAACTAATGTCTACCTATAGACTCAAGTATAATCACGACAATTTTTACGTACAGACTCAAGTATAAAACAACCAATATTTACCTATAGACTCAAGTATAATCACGACAATGTTTACGTACAGACTCAAGTATAAAAACAACTAATGTTCACCTATAGACTCAAGTATAATCACGACAATTTTTACGTACAGACTGAAGTATAAAAACAACCAATATTTATCTATAGACTCAAATATAAACACGACAATGTTTACGTACAGACTCAAGTATAAAAACAACAAATATTTATTCAATATTTATTTAAACTTTGTCGTGATTATACTTGAGTCTATAGAGACTCTATAATCACGACAATGTTTACGTACAGACTAAAATATAAAAACAACTAATGTTCACCTATAGACTCAAGTATAATCACGACAATGTTTACGTACAGACTCAAGTATAAAAACAACCAATGTTCACCTATAGACTCAAGTATAATCACGACAATGTTTACGTACAGACTCAAGTAAAAAAACAACCAATATTTACCTATAGACTCAAGTATAATCACGACAATGTTTACGTACAGACTCAAGTATAAAAACAACCAATATTTACCTATAGACTCAAGTATAATCACGACAATGTTTACGTACAGACTCAAGTATAAAAACAACCAATATTTACCTATAGACTCAAGTATAATCACGACAATGTTTACGTACAGACTCAAGTATAAAAACAACCAATATTTACCTATAGACTCAAGTATAATCACGACAATGTTTACGTACAGACTCAAGTATAAAAACAACTAATGTTCACCTATAGACTCAGGTATAACAAACAAATAGATTTCGACATAATATAAAGCAATAGAAGTTGATATATCGTAAAATGCAACAATACGAACACGGTAATATTTCTCCTATTTCAGGCGTAGTAAATGTTAAGAGCCGGACGGAGAGAGAGAGAGAGAGAGAGAGAGAGAGAGAGAGAAAGAGACAGAGAGAGAGGTAGGGGAGGGAGGGTGAGAGAGAGAGGTAGGGGAGGGAAGGAGGGAGAGAGAGTATTTTGAAGGAAACGAATGACGGGAATAAATAAAGAAAATGAAGACAAAAAAGAAATTGATATTACAAGAAAAATGAAAAATCCCCCAGAATAAAAATAAAATTGCAATATATATATATATATATATATATATATATATATATATGTGTGTGTGTGTGTGTGTGTGTGTGTGTGTTAATCATGATAGCTCTATCAAATCCTGAAAAAAAGACGTAAATGCTACTAAAAAGATGATAAAAAGATGATAGCAATGATGGTAAAAATAAATAACTCCTAAAAAATGCAAAGAATAAAGAAAATGGAAGGTGAACCTTGTGAAGAAACCGAGTTAAAAGCCTGCAACCGACCGGGAAGCATGATGCTTAATGTTATCAGTTTGCAATTACGCTTGGTGCCTTGCGTGGCTATTAGACTTGGCCCGCGTCCGCTCTATCACTAGGGACAGTCTCCACTTCATCGACGCCACGACAAACCTTAACTGAAGTTGACATTTCGGATAAGTCGCTGTGGATCTCAAGAGACAAATCCGGAACGGGGGTAATTTGAGCAAACCCGATTACCGACCAAGCAAAGTTTTCATTGCAGTAATTTTACGTTGATTGTCCGAAAAAGTGAGAGCTGACTTCCCTATCTTTCTTTCATTCTCTCTCTCTCTCTCATTGTTCTATTTTTTTCTCTCTCTATCTCTTTGGTTGTTTTTTGCTTCTTTCTTTCTTTCTTCCTTTCTTTCTTCTGACATGTAATTTGTTTTTCTCTCTTTTTTTTTCGAATTTCCATTTGTAAATCGTTTTTTTTCTTTATATCTTTATTTTCTCTCTCTCACTCAAATATACGTGCAAAAGAGTAAAACTAATACATATCAATTATATATATATATATATATATATATATATATATATATATGTGTGTGTGTGTGTCTGTGTGTGTTTGTGCGCGTTTGTATATATATTTATTTATTTGTACAGCATTCCTTCTTTAATACAGGTTTCGTACAAAAAGAAATCTCTAATCCGAGTGCAAGAAAAATATAATATAAAGCTTAATGGAAGTCTGTCGTCGTCAATGAGACCCGTATATTCATTCACACACATACATACGTACATACATACATTCATACATACATACATACATTCATACATATATATATATATATATATATATATATATATATATATATATATATATGTATTTGGGCGTATCTGTGCGTGTAATATTTATAATCTCACCCCGCCATCTGTTTCTCCACACACACAGACACACACATACACACACATACATGCACACTCGTGCGCATATATAACTCTTGCATTGTTTTTTAATACTTATGGTATCACACACGTACACACACACGCACGCACACATATTGCACTTATTCATAAACATATGTGTATATATAATTAAATTGTTTAAAATTTGCATTATTTATAAGTAAAGACATTTCCGTATCAGTGATAGATAATTTGACGATTGCTTAAGACGTGAAACTGCAAGTCACTATGCAATATTTATTTCCATGCCCCCCCACACACATGGACTCTCTATCTGTTTGTTTGTCTATCTGTCTAATCACGAGTTAACAACAGGGAAAACAAATTTGGATTTCGATTCCTTCTACACTTCTTACTAAGTAATCTTGAAAAAAGGCCTGAACATACATTCTAGAATTCTGTTTTACCGTCAAATATGTTGACATAAAATGTCTTGTCACTGCTAAGTCAGGTTTGTTGACGACATACAACGCGTTGTGTATGAGCATTTGGAAAAACCACTCTTCCATAAGCGACTTGCCGCTAGCCACAATAACAATAAATATAACCATTGTCAACCTTGACATGTATATAGATTAATGGATTTATATATTCCCATACGCTTGGTTGGCACAAGGAAATCGAAGAGGGAATAATGGCAACCAAGGTGCTGACCTTCCACACTACCCCAAACAAAAGATAAGGAAGGAAACTTCCATCAGTAATGGAAAGAGTATTAACAGCTACTGGATTTAAGAAACTTGTTTTCCCGAAACGTTTTTCTAAGAGAAAGATTTTATGAATTTCAACCGATTGCAGCATTGACTGCTCGGTCAAGAAGTGTCGAATATTTCCTTATAAGGAAACGGCTAATAATGCAACTACAAATAATCATGTAATTTTATGCATTGAAAATATCTCACGCGCCCACACGCGCATGCATATACGAGACCTGATAAAATGTATCGAGACTGTTGCTATGGTAACGAATCTAGAGTGCACAGAATGACGTCACTTGATCCTGAACACTGCTGCACATGCATACTAAGTTATAACGTTCTCGCTCACTTCCGTTGTTGTATAGCAGTCCTTGGGAGAAAAGTCTGTGGAATTTGGTCGTCTCACCACACCACAGAGGTTCCATCAGTGACCATACCCTGTGCAGCAGTTTTTGCCAAAGTATAACATTCCCCAGGCACTAAGACCACTACATTCCCTCGACTTTTTCCTCTTCAAAAATCCCATCCCACTTGAAATATGATTTCAAGACATCTAGGCAATCCAATAGAATAACAAGGAAGCAGCTGCTCGCTATCACTCTAAACCATTCCTAAGTTCCAGGAATACTTCCATCGATGGAAATGACGCTGAATAAAGCCCTTCAGAAGGGGACTATTTCGAAGGAGATTAAATACCGAACTGATATGTGTTGTGGTTTCCTTTTTATAACACCAGTCCCGATACTTTTTGATCAGACCCCGTATATGCAATTTTGAAACTGGATATGCGGTTATATTTTTTTCTGTTATACATACAACGAGGCCTACATATATTTCAGAATCCATGCGTGTATTTTGGACACAGAAAATGTCCAATTACGCATAGACGCACATCGAAAAAAGAAAGCCCTTATTGCACACAAAGTACAAAAATGTGTGCATTAATTAGATGTGCATGGAAACACACACACACACACACACACACACACACACACACACACACACACATATATATATATATATATATATATATATATATATATATATACAAGTATATAAATTGTGTATACGGAATGGAATGAATTCCAGTCACCAACAATTACTATGCTTAAAAGTGCTCAAATACAGTGGTACAAATATCATTTGATAAGACACTGGTTGGAAACAAAACAACACCTTTTTTTTTAAATAAATAATTATATATTTGTAACATATTTATTTAAATTTTTTTTTAAATAATTATATAAATTTTTTTAAAAATCACTACAAAATAGCCATTTTGTTTCAACACCCTGGTGGTTCAACATCATCACTTGATAAGACACTGGGGGTGTTGAAACAAAATGGCTATTTTTTGTAGTGATTTTATAACATATTTATGTTATAATTTTTTTTTAAATAAATAATTATATATATATACACACACACACACACACACACACACACACACATATATATATATATATATATATATATATATATATACGCCATAAGTACGTACAGGTCTGCCACTATTGTTCTGTCGGCTTCCTTTAACAGCTTGTCCAGATTTGCTTCCTTCATCACTCTGACACATCCTTGCTGTATCACTTTATTCCTTTATATGTCTTTAGTTTTCACCTTCTACCTGTTCCTAGACTTTCGTCTCGCTCGCTTCTTTTGTTTATTTGAAACCCCCTTTCTTTTTTAGTTTCTTATTCTTTCCTCTTTCTCTCCCAACCTTCTTAATATTATCTTTTTTTTCTCTTTTTCTATTTGCTATCTGTTATTCTATCTTTTTTTTTTTTGCTTATTGACTTCTTTTTGTTCGTCCAGTGTTTAAAATTCCTTCTTTTATTTTTCTCTATTTTTTTTTATTTTACTTTCTTTATCTCGTTTCTGCCCCCATATTTTTTTTTTTAACTATATATTTTTTTTTCTAGCCTTTTTTGGTCGTTACGGCGGCAGCTTTGGCATTTGGCGCGAAAGAGGTCGCTGTTGTCGCTCACACGGCCTCCGTATAAGACGCCATTAAATGCTGATGACAGGTTATTGAGTAGACGCTTCCAGATTGAAAATGAAGAACCGATTCCCCAGAGCTTACACTTCTATTTGCTTGCGCGTGCATCGAATTCCCCGCGTCTTATGATCTTCCACCATGGCCTTCTTAGTTTCCTTCATATTTAACATAGTAAGAATTTATTCTACTACTTTAACAGTCCTTGTCTCTCGCTGCAGATATATAGTATTAGGTTGGTGCAAAATGATCGAAGAATGTCGTTTTTTAACGTAGAAAAGTACGTCAAAAAACGACATTATTACGTCATTATTTTTGCACCAACCTATTAGATTTGATGTGGGCACCTCGATGTGGTGTAATGGTTAGAAAGCTTGTCTTGCTAGATCAGTTACGACTGAGTAGTGATTTCGATCCTCATTGGGTACCCCATAATTTCGGCCTTGTGACATATCTAAGCCGCATTTAGAAATTCACAATAGTAGAATTGGTTCATATCGAGAATTGCCCGTGTTCAGGAGTTAACACAAATTTGTTAATAAACTCGCAAGTCATTGTTAGCAAGTTCAATCTTCAAAATCCCGTTAATCTGATATTATGCGAAATAAATTCAGAAAATAGGTATATCAAGCTAACAGTGCGCAGGTAGAGATATATTTGTAAGTCATTGAGGGTAAGATTGATCGTCACAGGTCGAGTCACGGATCTTGTTCTGTTCAAAATTAAACTTATGTACACGTATTCTACTCAAGATGGCTCTAGATTGTGTCCCTGTGCCAAACATAGACAAGGAAAAAAAAAATAGAAGAAAGAAAACTATCTCCGCCTGCGGAAGATGACAACATTCGCTAGATTTCAGTCACTGAACGTTTATTTTTTCTTGCGGACATATGTCCACTAATTGGCCAGACTATTATATTCGCCATCTCTACTAGATTGCTAAAACAAAAGAGAACACTTTTTCAGTCAATCAATCAATTAATTGATCCAATTCGCAATAATCTAATTCAATTGTTCATCGTATTCAGCAGGTCAGAAGGGTTGCATTTTATGTCGTCACAAATCTGCTTGATATGTGTTTTTCGCTTGTCGTCCTCTGCTAGAACTTCATCGTATAGGCTCCCACTGTTAGCATGCAAGAATAATTTCCCACTTTTAGCCTCCGAGCGTAGGCGCTATCCAGTCTTATTTCCAGTTTTCATGTAAAGGTCCATAAATATGTTCCATTTCACTTGAACATGTCATTGCTTTTTTTAAATTTATGTATGTCACTATATATATATATATATATATATATATATATATATATATATATGAAAGAAAAATACAGAAAAAACAAAATTCTGAATATGCATTATTAATGTTAAAATAAAGTCGACGTCGGACGTTTCGGTCTATTTAAGACCATCTTCATGGACATTTTCATTTAAACATAATTAACATTATAACTTATAACAATTTAACACAAAAGACGATGGACATAAGAGCCCAACTAATTCAAACAGATAACTGATAATATATTTTTTATATATTTTTATATATATATATATATATATATATATATATATATATATATATATATATGCAGTGCTGTTCGCTAAAAGTGACTCACCTGATTTTCTTTAATAAAAATATTTTCTGTCTATTGTTTTTGGGGTTAAAATAATTTTTAATCTTACTAATATAAAGACCTCTTTCCGACCACCTAGGAAAAAAAGTTTATTCACCCTAAGGTATTCTATTGATAATTATAAATTTGGATATAAATGAGATTCAGGAAAAAAACTCTGTGCAAAAAAAGTGACTCAGATATCTCATTCTAATGATTAAACTGGTAAATTTATAGAACTTTTGACAAAATATTGAAAACTATTTTACAATACACCCAGAACAATATTCTAGAGAATTCTAGAACAGCATAAATTAAATCTAGAGTATTCTAGAATATTCCAGAAAGCCTCATATAGTATAAAAACAGCTTAAAATAGCCACTTAAGCCACTAATTAGATGAAAGAGTACAAACACGCATCAGAACCACTTAAGTCATCTATTATTGCCCTCTTAAAAGCAGGCAAGTATACGAGAGAAATTGCTATAACCTCGCAATCAACTGTCTCTCGAGTGCTTAGGGCACATAATGATGCCACATCTGCTCCAAGGAAGGAAACAAGGGGGCGAAAGAAAAAAGATTGATGATAGAACTGGCAGGGTAATCAAGAGAGAAGTTGCGGAGAATAGGACTATAACTAGCCAAGAAATTGCAGCCAGTCTAAGCGAAGAGCAAGATGTTAGTCTTGCCCCTTCAACAGTCCGTCGATAGCTGTTAGAATGAGGCTAAAATCTTGTACACGAAGGTTTAAGCCGCTAATAAGCAAAGCCAAGAGACTTAAATGCGCTCACTATTACAAACGTTTCACCGGAGAAGACTGGAAGAATGTTCTCTTCTCCGATGAAATGAAAGTTGAGCTAAATTCAAAGGATAATTTGAGTCACTTTTATCGAACAGCACTATATATATATATATATATATATATATATATATATATATATATATATATAGTATATTAACGAAGCAATGTTAAATGTATATTGTTACCTATAACGGACAGTATATTTATCCCATGTATATGTATATATATATGTGTGTATATATATGTATCTCTCTCTCTCTCTTTCTCTCTCTCTCTCTCTCTCTCTCTATATATATATATATATATATATATATATATATATATAATATCGCATATTGTGTGATGGTGCTAATAAAATAATGCTCGCTGTATAATAGCAGAGCTGTACTTTATATTAACAGTAAATTTACATTTTCTTCACCGGTGACACAATTCTGAGTTGCATGCACAACGCAATGGTCAATGTTTTCAATCAGTATCTGACGATCGCCTTGTACCTTGAAAGTCAATGTTGTGCTTAGGAGATCTTTTTACAGACCCCAATTCACAAAGTATTCTACATCTTTTGTCTTTCTCGGCTCCCTCAATTCCAGCCTTTTCAAATATATGAGCTCTAGTCAAAAGTGGTTGTTTCGCGTATATTATCAGGTCATCCCATAAGCTCTGTCCGAATTTTGAATAAAGAAAACAAGTGACCAAATGTTACATCTAATTACAGATTCAATCAACAATGAATTTTCCCCGATTATCTATGACTTCCTTCCATCTATTAACAAGCTTACTAATTCCATTACTGTAAAATTCTTTTGGCTTTGATTCGAAGAACTCACAAATGTCAGTTTTAACCTCTTCCTGTGTTACAAAAGCTGTTTCTTCCAAATGATTCTGTAAGCTACGAAACAAATGGTAGTCTGAAGGAGCAAGATCGGGAGAATAAGGTGGATGAGGAATTTCTTGCAACCAAGTTCTTCGATCTTTTGTGACGTGATTCTTGCTGTGTGGGGTCGCGCACTGTCCTGATGAAACATTACTCCTTTTCGATTCACTAGAGCAGGTCTTTTTTTCTTCAAAGCTTGGTTCAAACGCTCTAATTGCTGACAGTATATTTGAGAATTAATTGTTGCATTAGTTGGTAAGAATTCAAAGTGGATTATTCCTTGGCGATTCCACCAGATTGAAAGAAGAACCTTTTGCCCATGAAGTTCCCTTCTCGGCTGTGGCTGGGGTGCTTCCCCTTTACCAAGCCACTGTCTACGACGCTTAACATTTCGATAAAAGATCCATTTTTCGTCGCCAGTCACAAGTCTATCCAAAAAAGGTGAAACAAGTTGGCGAGAATGGAGAGAAGATCAGATGTCAACTCGGGATTTGAGGTTGTTTTCAGACAATTCATGAGGCAACCATTTTCCAAGTTTAGGAACTTTTCCAAGTTGTTGAAGATGACGATGAACAGTTGTTTGGCTTGAACTGAGAACCACTGCCAATTTCTCAACTGATAAATCAGGATTTTCTTCAAGGGCTGCTTCAAGAAACTTTTCATCAAACTCAACTGGAGGTCCGGTTCGATCTTCATCTTTAAGGGTGAAATCTCCACCTCTGAATTTTGCAAACCATCTTCTGCAAGTTCTTTTATTCACATATTTCTCTCCATAAACTGAGTGAATGTTTCTAGCCTCTTCGGCTGCTGAGTTTCCTTTCTTGAACTCATAAAGCATTATGTGCCTCAAATGATTATTGGGTACTTCCATGTTAGCAGGGTTTTAATCAAACAAAATTTAATTTTATTGTTCTCTGAAATAAAATTTCATCAGTTTAAATGCATCTAAACATAAAAATAATGTTCAGCTCCATTAGACATTATAAAATACTCTTTAAATTTTGATCATTTTAAAAAAAAGTTAAAATTCGGACAGGACTTATGGGATGACCTGATAGTTTACGTTCATCTCGACGAAGAACTTATTAAAGCCTTTTTCATTTGCTTCGATTTCTCAACTTACTTATATTTTCAACAGCTTTCTTTATCGTTCAATGATTTCTACAAAGCTTTTTTGGTATCTTCTATGTGTGCATTCCTTCATTCAATAACTTTGATATTTTCTGTTGTTAGATCTTTCCCATTACCCATGTTTCTACATATATGACGGACAAAAAGAAAAAATGGTTTTTATTAGATTTTAGAGGTCTTCAACTAATATTAGTTTAATCTGCATATTAACTTAAGTCAGTCTATTTTCGTAAATTCCAAAAATCTTAAATGTTAACTATTAAAAATGGCAGAAAATTTAATTTAATATTTTACCAAAGGTGGAAATAGATGAGTTTAAATTTGACTAATATTGATTCAAAACTTTTTGAGCTTTATTTGATTTGCATAATAACTTCAGA